GGTCAGGCCCAGCGCCCAGCCGCTCTGCCAGTCTGTCGATCGGCGCAGCTGCGGCGTGGCGCGGCGCGGCGGACCTAGGTTAATGGCGCGCGTGCTCCATCATGTGGCCTGACAGCCGGCTGGGGGATTCCTGGTCGGGGCCGGCCGGCCGAGCGGAGCGCGAGAGGCCAAAACAACGTGCCAGCCAGCTAGCCGCTCCCCGAGCCGGGCCGCTCTTCTGCGGCGCGCCTCTCTCTCTCTCTCTCTCTCTCTCTCTCTCTCTCTCTCTCTCTCTCTCTCTCTCTCTCTCTCTCTCTCTCTCTCTCTCTCTCTCTCTCTCTCTCTCTCTCTCTCTCTCTCTCTCTCTTCCCCTCTCTCTCTCTATCATCATCATCATCATCAATTTATTACAATTATAATTATACAGGGTGATCCAAAAAATTTGGAACCCCTAACTTAAAATGTCTATAAGTCCGAAAGTATTCACTTTATTGACAAATTGCAAACACCATTAGAAAGAGTATTAAATCTTCTATAAAATCACGTCAAATTGGTGCATGTATGTTGTAAAGCATTGGCACACTATTAGCTTTTGGAATGAGCGTCAGAAAACTGAGTGAAACGAAATCGCCAAATGTTAACAATGCACTGAAACAAAAAACACTCTATCTGTTGTTGTTTTTTTTTGCGAATAATACCACATCCAAGTTCAATTTCATTACATAAAAGTTAACACAGAAGCACACGGTAGAACAGATACACGCATCCTAGCTTCCGCTCTTCATCCTAGCATGTGCTCTCCGTGGGCCCTCACGCAGGCCTGCAGCCGCTTGGGGACGGCTCCGACTGCGCAGGCCAGCGGACTCTGGGACAACTGGTCCCAGCAGGCCGTCAGCCTTTCCTTTCCTTACAATAGCACGTGAATGAGCTATTTTTTCATGAACCTCTAACATGCGACATGGTCAGAACGGCAAACATTCAATCACTGATTTTCATTTGCGCATAATGTTCAAATCCGTTTCACCGAGTTTCGTGACACAAATTTTATAGGCATAAGTCTAGGATAATATTTATAGTAATAGTTAAGTACAATCAACTTGGTGTTATAGAAAATTGAACGTTCTTTCTAATGGTGTTTGCAATTTGTCAATAAAGTGAAAACTTTCGGAGTTACAGACATTTTAAGTTAGGGGTTCCAATTTTTTTGGATCACCCTGTATATCACAATTATATTATATATCTATCTAATATCTCTCTTTTTCTCTCTATCTCTGTCCATCTTCTCCCTCTCTCTTTTCCCTCTTTTTCCTTTTCCTCCTCCTCCTCCTCCCTTGATCATCTTCTCCCTTCCTCCTTTCCCAACCCTCGCCTCTCCTTTCTTCAATCCCTCTGCTCTTCTCTCCCTCTCTTATAACCCGTCATGATTTCGTTTCTCCTTTTTCCGCTCTTCCCATACTTTTTACTGTTATAAATAATCGTTCATCTATTGATCTGTCCTGTCATCTGTTCTCATCCCTATTTTTACGAGTTGCGCTATAGCATGGAGTACTTACCAGGGTGTAGAGTTGTCGAGTAATCGCTAATGTCCATTATCCATCAGCACGTTAAGTATTATTCGTGATAATGCAGTACTGATAGCTTAACTGTTCTTACTTATTTTTGCCAGTTGACCTTACATGTAATGGTCTCGGATATTGAAAGGTTTTCAACATTGTATTTAAATTATAAATATAATCATTTTTCTAGCATTGTTATGAGTTTAAGCGAATCACAATGTTTAGGAAAAACAATTAGTTAATAAACGAAAGCGTCGTTTAACACCGAGCACGACATTGACAAGCGAACACCCGCGCTGCTGGAAGAGGCAAGCTTCCGTGTTCCTCATACGCTGAATCTTACCTAAGCATTAAACGTAACCTTTTGAGATTCAGCTTCGCCTCAGACATGTGCGCTTGCAGAACCTAGACAGAGCTTTCATATCCCGCTCCGCCATCCGCCAGGTAACCCTCTGCGCTCCCGGCATTCCTCCAACTCACGGGGATGAGGGCGTTCCTTTCACCTGTGGCCGGTGGGTCGGCCATGTTCTCACCTCACTGTGGGGCGGCCCGTCCTGAATTACTGCCAGGCGGCCAGGCCGCCCCGCCCCGGGGCGAACCCCGCTGGGCCGGCGCTGGGCGCCGCGGGACGCGCAGAAAGGTCAGAGGTGGGGGCGGGGTGGAGCGGGGCGGAGGGGGGGGGGGGGGTGGAGCGGGGCGGAGAGCTGTGTGGACTGGGCGGGAGGTGGGAGGTGGACAGTGTGGAACTGAGCGGGGTTGAATTGGTGTGGAACTGGGCTGTGGTGTGGATGGTGGAACTGGACGGCGGACTACGGATGGTATACGGTTTGGAAATGGGGTGCATCTAGCGAGCGATTGACAGAGTGGCTACTAAACAGGTCGTGGACGTTCAGGAGAATATCAGGCGAATATTTCAGCCATTTGTGTTAGCAACTTGTGATCGTCAATATGTTGGATTGGAATATGCATGTCGCTGTCCCTGCTTTTACTGAATATTTCCGGATATAGGTGATTCTTAGTGCTAGTTTGTGTGACGTGCATTTGATTTTGTTCGGTGGAGAGTTCTCACATCTCAGACGTTTTTTTCTGATGTTGCGCTGTGCTTCAAACAGGAGTGTCCGGCTGAACTATTTTTATTTGCTATTGTCTTACCCATTAAAAATATTGGCAAGTCATTTTCAGGCCTTATTAGCGTTATCATGTGTGCGTCAAAGTAAATGTTCATGCGGCAGAGAACACTTTCAGTTTTCACCTCGATATTCATTGAACTCGAAGTAGACATTCGAATTCTAAACCTTTGATGCAGGGGCGGACGCGGAGCTTCCTATACAGTTGGTGGGGTGGCTGCCCCACCATCTTGCCATTTAACCCCACCAGCTTTACAAGCTGATTTGTTGGATTTTGCTGCTTTGCAATCAATATTGTTTCGCATTGAGGTGCTTTGATTATCTCTGCAATGAAAAGAATTGATTCAGTGTAGTGTTTTTATTTAACTTACCAATCAGACATTGTAGGCTTGACGACCTTTTGCCCCACCAACTTCCCTGGAAAAGTTCCACCCATGCATTGACGTATATGATATTGGACTTTATCGCCATGTTTTATTGATTGCCACATTGCCACCACTAAACCCAGTTGCCCCATCCCCATCTGACCCCCGTGACCCCTCCCCTCGCGCCCCCTCCTCCGTGACATCAGCAGCGTCCACCACCACGGGCCCAGTCCTCGGCCGCCTCCAGAGCCGCCGCCGCACCGTCAAAAATAATGCGCCGCGGCCCGACAAAGGCCTCCGCTCGCCGGATAAAGAGTGGCAACTTTGGGAGATGTCACCGGCGTTATGGATGGGGCACACGGTGTGGCGCGTCGGCGCGCATTGTGGCGCGGTGGCGGCGTCCGCGGCGCACCAGACAACAGCGGCGCGTCTCGGGCGAGATGACTCAATCTGGCGCAGCTGGACTGGCAGAGTGGCGCGGAGGATGGGCGGAGAGTGGTGCCGTCAATGTTTGGTGATGGGGGACCAGGGCTGGGCATTGACGGAATGAGAGGTGTAGTTAGACGTGAATCGGACATTAAAGATAACAACAATAATTCGATGTTGTCGGCACTCATTTTCACTTACATATGTTACCTACAGTTACTGTGATATCGATTGTTTTATATAATGATCTGTAACTGGCTTACTAAAACCAACGTAATATTGTTATCACTAATCACCAATGACCAAACGAGCGCGACAGAACCGTTGCGTATTTGTCAATATTGTTTGAGCATAATCACTAATCACTAATCAGACAACATTCAAGTGTTGTTTTGAATCTAGATCTGTTTCTAAGGCTAGCCCGCAATATTTTGCATATGCCTTCAAAAGATAATATGTACGATAATGCCGCTGTGTAGTTGTGCTGAACTCATAAGTTGATATGTTTGCAAGAACGTGGTAGACATGAGCCAAACTGCTATCACAAAAAGCCGAATGATAATCCATGTCCAATCATTCAGTAGTGGCAGATCGTTTTATGCAAACAGCTTAGGAAAGACCAAGAAATTGTCCTGGGTTTCAGGCAAGGCCGAAAAGTCGTGACCGGCTAAGAAGCATCAACTCCCCCGTAATGTAAATGTTGAACATAATGTGATGCATTTACGTTGCACTGCATGTTTCATGAAAATGCTTTATCCGCATTTTTTATGCGCTTTTATGCATTGTGTCGTGTGTTTCCTGAAGCTGGACGCACTTTTCGTCGGCCGGTAATACAGCCCAGTTGAAACTGCTTCGTTCGGAGCCATCGTTTGCTCCATACGCAAATGGCCTCTGGCAAGTGACAGTGGTCGTCGACTACTGGCCTGACGAAGTCGGTGAGTAAGGCTACTCTTAGTGTTCAGACATGCCAAAGGCTTTTATAACAACTCTGAATTTCACTGTTTAGCCGCAAGTTTCCGATCCGACGCGAGTTATAATTGATTTTGACGTAAGTTCTGCTGTGTGAAATTCAGTCCACATCGATCTCGAACTTCATCTCGATCTCGAACTGTAGATTAATTGCAAAGACGTCTACCGTAATTATTACCAGATGCCAGCCTGTTTTCACCGAAGACCTGTCCCCCAATCACCTCTCATTGTCGACTCTGCACCAATCACTGCTGACCTGGTGCAGCCCACCGATGAAGACGCAGTGCTCGTGTCTCCTGTTGAGCCCGCCGGGATGAAAGGCTGCCGTCTCGCCGGTGCTCGGCCGTCCCTGTTTTGCATGCACCGTCCGCCGGCGGCGGACTGTCGGCTGTCAGAGGCACCGGGTGCGCGCGGAGCGGTCAGCCGCACCCCCCACCCCCCCCCCCCACCTCCTCCTGCCAGCGACACGTGCTACTGGTGGACGGCGGCGCGCCTTGTTTTGCAGAGTGACTGCCACCACACGACAGCCTTTGTTCCGCCGCCGAGCGACCGCAGCACACCGAAAAAGTCGACATCTTACAGGATTTCCATCGTATTGTGACCATGAGGAATATCGACATTGCAACAAACACAGTCAGTCGTATTTACAAACACAACAGAGGAGCACGTCAGAGAAACAGGCGCCGGGAGGGCCCTGACAAAAGTCCAGCGACGAGACCCATTATCGGCTTCTGTCGCTGCTCAGAGGGCCCAGCCGAACGCGTCACATAACACATTTCACGACGCCGCCGGGGTCAAGTCCCGTGGCGCCTTTTGGTGTAAAGCCTACGTCAGAAATATGGCGCCCGGGACCAGAGGGGTATCGGCTTGTCAAGCCGGGTTTAAATAGAGTGTTAGGCTGATTGGTCGTTACCCATTGGTGTCAGTTCAAATTAAAACAACGCGACTAGGCTACGACAGGCGCCAATAACACGGGTCTGAGCGAGGTGAGTATTTTACACGTACAGTGCGCTCTCGATCGCTGCCGTTCGAAACGATGCTGACTTAGTGCTATTGCAACCAATGGTCAATGAGGTCTTGATGGGGAAATGCAGGACAGGGTCAAGCGAGCATCTACATAAATAGTTAAGTTATTAATTTAGAGCTAAAACCTGGCGAAGTCGAGAAGGGCAGAACGAAAACGCACGGGTCAGTTAAATAATTAAAATTCCTATACATAAAACAAAATAGGTAATCTCATCTAAACACGAATGACGCTTTACAGCGGGATTCGCCCAGCTTACACACTCACACACACGCACTTATATCACTTCATGATTCAAGACGAAATAAATACCAGGCGTGATATTCATCGCTCGCGAAAATCCCTGAGTTTGGTACCCGCACCGGGCGAGGATGGGCCCCGCCCGTGCCGCGACCCGCTCTGGGCCGCGCTGCTTAAAGCTGCCTGGCTCTACGTTCGGCGGCTGCGATGCGCGTGCCGTGCCTCCCGCGCGTCCTTAACCAGCACCGCCGCTCACTCTTTTGATATCTGGGCCGGCGCCGCGCCGCATGTCTCGCCGCCGCGCGGCGCCCGCTCTGCGACCTGACCTTTGACCCGGTCACCGCGCTGCCGCCTCACTGAGGCGACAGCGGCGGCGAGGATGACTCGGTCTTCGCCTGCAGCGGTGACGCCTTGTCGTCGGAGACGTCGCCCTTGCCGGCGGCGGCAGCGGAGGCGGCGGTTTGGGAGAGCGGCTCGGAGGGCACCAGACCCTCCTTCATGCGCTTCTTCTGTTTCATCCGCCGGTTCTGGAACCAGATCTTCACCTGGGTTTCGTTGAGCGTGAGTGCCGTGGCGATCTCAATGCGGCGCGCGCGCGTCAGGTATTTGTTGAAGTGGAACTCCTTCTCTAGCTCGGTCAGCTGTTTGGTGCTGAAGTTGGTCCGGCCCGTGTTGTTGGCACCGCCAGCCCCGTAGCTGAAGTCAGACTTGGGCACTGGAACGAGACAGAGACAGCTGGTTAGACCGCTGCAGTTCTCCGACAGAATGACACAACACGATGGCTCAATCTGTATGAGGTGGAACCAAACAACCGTCACGGTTTCCGTCCACTTTCACCCGAGCCGCCGCACGGCTCAGTGGTTCCGCGCGTCACAACACAAGTTCCACTGTGTATCTAACATTCCTAACGCTCGTCCACAACACCCGGTTAGGTGACTTGTCGGTGACAGCGACAGTTTTACGTCTAATTTAACCAGACCGGGTCACCACAACACCTCAAATTGAACCGGGCGCCTATTCAAAAGCACGTGAGTGATCCCCAGATAGGATGACAGCTTCAATATGTGCCGCCGCCCGCGTCGCCGCCGCTGCCGCCAGTCGCGCCTGACCTCTGTCACCGATCCGGCGACCCCGCGGCCACTTCAGAGTCGCCGCCGGCTGACCCCCCGACCCCCGACCGGCCGGCTGACTGACAGGTCGCCGGCCGGCGGCCGCCGCGCGCGCACGTGGGCTGGCTAATTTTTAGCGGCACTTTTGTGATGGGAGTGGCGACCGGCCGTCACCGCCAGACACGACAAATTCATTACGGCGCATGCGACGGGGAGGGGGCGAGAGAGACAACTCGAGCGGAGATCGACAGGGGGCCGGGGGCGGATGTGTGGCCCGTGCGAGAGGAAGACGGATCGTCGGCGTGCTAAGAGTATTGTAATCGAAGACGAGTGATGGGGTGGGTTCAGAACTGACAGAGTCTGATCCGTTCTGGCCGAAAGGACAGGGTGCATAACAAGATCAAATGGCGAGAGCCGGCCCCAGTAGACGGACACGTGATTCGTGGCGACCCGCCAGCTCGTGCCTCGTTTGTATATCACATACAAATTGCATGATTATTTGTTATCAAATATAACAGTCAGGGTGTGCTGAAATCTGACTTGGAAGCTCGAAACATTGCACACACAGGACTGATTGGCGGATAAGCTAATCAGACATGTTTGGGATATACTTTATAACGATCAAAATAATAACATAGCAAAAATTCAAAATGTTTTATCAGGTATTTTTATTCAACCGAACATGTGCAGCGCACCAATCAACTTTCGTTAAGAAATGCCTATATATTAACGATACTGGACCTTGGTAAAATCTGGAAAACCCTAAGTACCTACAACTGAAATTGATAAAACACCTATCGCCGATATCGCCGAGATCAGAACAAGATCAACCAGCCGGTCTGTGTTCCGGTTGTCCGTCGTGCCTGTTCTCTGGAAGCAGCACACACCAGTGAGTTCCATCACCAGCGACCGAGTGCCGTCGCACCACGCGCGCCGCCGCTCCTGACCACACCGTGCGCGACAGCAAAAACTCGGCCCAGTGATGGATCGGCGCCGGCGTCGTCGCGTTGCCATGACAACGCGTCCGGATACGGCCGACGCGAACAGGCAGCGCCGGTAGGAGAGGCGGCAGAACCGAAACGGAAACGTAACCGCGTGTTCCGCCCTGATTCGGAACGGCAGCGCCCCGGGTTTTCGACATGGTTTGTGATATGGGTTTGCGGTGAGTTATCGAGGAATCGATAGCGGAAAGTGATAGCCTCAGATGAAGGATGGAACACGACGGCTGCGCAATCGAAACCAGGGTTTATTGAGTGAGTTATCGAAACAGCCGAATCGGATCGCAGCTTGGAAGTGCGTAGCGTTTACAGCTCACAGATAAACGACATCACCACCGTTTTCCGCTATCTAGTATCTGTTCAACCAGCCTCGAGGTTTTAGTTCTCGTTCCAGCCAATCTCATCACACCTCCGTCGCCTGCGTCGGCCTCAAAATCCAAAACGTCGCCAGCGACAGAGCGCGCGGCTGTCGGTGGCGTCTCTCTGCGGAGGCTGCCGAGCGCTCCGTCTTCCTCCGTCCAATCGGCTGTTAGCGGCTGTGACAGCGGGGCCGTCAGGCTACAGCGGGCTCTCCACCCCCCCCCCCCCCAGCAGCTGACATTCCTGAGGACCGCCGGTCTCGACAGTCCCGGCCGCGGTCACCGAAAATCGCCGCCGGCGACTCGGCCGGTCATTACGCCGGGGCACGCCGTCCCGCGACGATAAATGATTATTGATTGGGTAAATACAGCGCCGGCTGGCGCCACGCCACGGCCGCCGTCGGACGCGACGTTGGCGGAGCGACGGCGACGACGGGGGGGGGGGGGGGCGGTGACGGGCTGCCAGCTGGGCTGCCAAATGAGCATGTTGAACAGGGCGGGGGCGTGCTGTCACGGTGAAACATGTCACCCAGGCGGGAGCACACAGGCCGCAGCTGTCATGTTGGGGATTTTGTGAGGGGAAATGTTCTGTGGAAATGCTCTTGATGTTTAGGATAAAAGATGGACTGCGAAGCATGGAGATTACCAGACAGTAATGAACCATTTCAGAGTTTGATAAGATATAATTTTGAATGGTCCTGATTATAAACCAAAGTTTGCATAACCATATCTTCATTAGTCTTTTCTCACCTTCAGGGTATACCATTCCTCATTCTAAATAATCCTCTGATTCTCATTGAACCTTGTTCCGAACTGACAACCATCACCATATGCCGATGAAGGCTTCAATTCAGAATGATTAAACAACTGAAAATGGACAAACCACTTTCGCATTTAACCATTTATCCATTTAACCAACGTGGTCCTTCTTCCGTGTGCAGCAAATGTTGCATTGGTCTCCGCCTCCCTCTCCAACCCGCGTAAGCCGCCTTCGCCGCAGCAGCAGACGGGGAGGAGACTATTTAATCGTCCAATTACACCGGTTTCCGTTCCCAGACTGATAAGGACCGTGTCGACACCGTCAGCCAATCGTCTGCCGCAGCAGCTCGCCTGTAATTGGCCCGCCTGCACCGGCAATCGCTCCTGGCGAGGATTGCCTCTGACAGCGGTGTGACCAGCACCTTATTTGCCATATGTGCTACGATGATGAATATTGGGAGGCATGCTGAAAACCATATTGAAAGCAGGAAGGTCAGCGTCCTTAGCCAGGAGCCGGGTCCGACAGTAAGAGCTAAGGCAAGTCGGCAGTAATGTCACGTCCACTGTCCAGTGAAGCCTTTCCATCGCGTTGCAAGCCTACAAGTAGGTTGTAGGCACATTATTTGTGGGCCGAGAAAGCGCGGAGTACGCTTTTCTTCCCCACACAAATGCTTCAGTTTACAGTTGAAATCCAACGCCGAAGGGAAAGCTAAATAGAGCTTCAGGGTAAAGGCCGGGACACAGTTTCCAGCCCCGACCTAAACGTAAAGCAGGACGGCCGCCGCTGTCTGCGTGGTGGGCGGGTCATGCAGCCAATTCGCCGCCGCTCCCCGGAGGCTGGCGTGCGGCACGCGTCGCCTGACCTTTGCCCTGATTGCCGGGGGCGTCCGTGGCCGCCGGCCGCACATGGGGCACGGACAAGGAGCGACGCTCTGTGGTTAGAACCATCCGCTAATGACATTTCTATTGTAACGCTTTTCGAAAAAGCAAAAAGACGAACACCGGCGAAATATGAGAGAGGCCGTTATCTGAGAGAAGGCGAGAGAAGCCGTAGCCATGTCCTAAACAAAGACATGAAGCACAAGCCATTCTCTTCCAAATATTGTTATGATATGGGTTGATCGTGAGCCACCGTGGTGCATGGCCGAGCGACCAACAAAATTCATTTTCATGCACGCCAGCACTGGATGCCACCTTACAGCTCGACGCTCATCACCACATCGGCTGTCATGGCAAATGTATGCAACTGCTGGCGGTCGCACATTTCGTTACAAATGTCAATGAAACATTGACATTGCCTTCATTGGCTTCATTGACATTGTCTTCTTTGCCCTAACATTACCTAACCATCAAGATGAGCTCATGTGCGTTGAATCCGCTACCAATCCGTAGCATACAGGCCGAAAGACACGCTCCCTTTGTTCTTTCCATTAGTGATTCACAAACGGAATGAGCTGGGTGTATCGCGACATAAGGACCCTGAACGACAGAAACGAACAAAACTTATGCGGCTCTTACGGCTGGAAACGCCACGTCATAGAGACCTCATAAGGATCTCGATCTCAACAGACATTCTACTACGTCAGTTACACACATATTTGGCCAGACGTGACCTGTCAAAAAGGAGAAAGATGATGTGTTTCTGGAGATGCCGCAAGTCTCGTATCAGCCCACGATTCAAATACTACGGCAGATTTTTCATCAATGACGTTGAATACCAAATATACGCGTCATATCCGGTAGGTAAGTAAAACGCAAATCTGGTGACTAAATCGATTACACTTGTGTGTGAATAGAAGACGAGCGTTCTTATGCCTCGACTTCAATAAATTAATATTCCTCGACTATTTCCGCCCGGGAAAATCTCCGAGCGCCTTCAAAATTCCGCACCCCATTCCGCCTCCTCCGCTCACCCCGCTGCCAGCATTCCCAGCCCTCCTGTCGCCTCTCGGGGCCAACAATGCTCCTGTCTCCATTCCTGCCGTCACAGGCCGTCACCGACGTCACCAACCGACGTCACGGGCAACGTCACCGTCCGCGACGCACCCGCGACGCTCACGGCGGCGGCGGCAGCGGTGCGGGAGCGATCGGCAGTCCCGTCACGTGCCCCGCCCGGCGTCGGTGAGTCGGCCGTCCTGGAAGGAGCCGCCGACTGAGACTGAGACAGAGACTGAGACAGAGACTGAGACAGAGACTGAGACAGAGACTGGGACAGAGACGGGCCGGAGACGGCCGGAGACGGGTCGGGGACGGGCCGCAGACGTCTCCATCGGCCTGTGTTGTGACGGCCGGCGGCAGGCGGGAACGCGGCTGAACCTGTTGCACGCAGCGGCGGCAGGTTTTTGTAGTGGGTGCCCACGGCGTCGAACGGAGTCGCTGAGAGACGCCGGACGAGGCGGGAGGTCCGAGCCGAGTTTGGAGGCGATGGAGATGGGGACTGGAGTTCACTGGGGTGAGGCGGTGGTGAATCAGGGCTGTGATGAATGCTTC